TCACCTCAGCCTCCCAAAGGCGTGGGATTACAGGCTGAGCCACCGAGCCCGGCTATGGTCTGTTTTTAAAATCTGGCTGTGTGTTTTCTAAAGCTGATTTGTAGACATTCTTGAGGCTTTGGGAGCATTGTAATATGTTCATCCATTGCCCTCCTGAGCCCCTCGTATGAGCTGTGATTGGGTTCTCTCCACGCGTGGCTTCATGTTCATTCTGTTTCGTGTGTTTTGTTTTGCTTTTCATCCTCGGCTTCTGGTCAGTGTTTGGATTTCCTCAGTCGTCGTATGTGTTCATGCGTGTAAGCACACACACAGCGTATCATGTCCGAAATACCGTTGCTGGAACAACGCTGCTCTGTGTATTTCTGCTGGGTGTGTACCTAGAGACAGAATGGGCCCGGTACAGGTGTCCGTTCTAATCCATTCTCATAAATATTGCCTAGCAGCTTTCCAGGTGTGTATATATATGTACCAGTTCACATTCCCACCTGTCGTGTCTTGAGACGTTGGTTTTTCTACCTCTTTGCTAGCGCTTGATACTATCGATCTTTAAATTTACCATTCTCTTTTCCCTTGAATTTTAAATTTTACTTAATGTTTTATTCATTGGAGAGCATTTTACTTCTTCAAATAAGCAAGCTCTTTACTCATTTTCAAGCTGCTCTTAATTCTTGAAACATATTAATGTTACTCTGTAGTCTCTTCCTTCCAAGCCTGGTTCTGCTTTCTGTGTTTTCTCGCAGGTTCTTGCCATCTGATAAGGAAAATGTCATCTGGTTTTGTATTTCTGAAGAGTCAGTGTATGAAAAAGAATGTAGAAAGAAAGCATAGACTCATTTTATGATCTATTAAGGAGCTTGGATTTTATTACAGTTCTATTTGATACAGTAGTTACTAACCTCGTGTACATATTTAATTCCAAATTAAATTAAGTTAAAAATTCTACCTTCACACTAGCTATAAATCAAGAGCCCAAGAACCCCCTGTGGGTGGTGGCTGTTGTTTTCACAGAAAGTTCTTTTGGGTACTACTTTATTTCTTTCTTTATTTTTTGAGCCAGAGTCTCTCTGTCGCCCAGGCTGGAGTGCAGGGTCACACTCACAGCCACCGCAGCCTCGATCTGCTGGGCTCAGGCGATCCTTCCACCTCAACCTTCCAAGTAGCTAGAACTACAGACACATGCCACCATGCCCAGCTAATTTTTTTGATTTATTGTAGAGATGAGGTCTTGCCAAGTATCCCAGGCTGGTCTTGAATCCCTGGGCTCAGTCCTCTCGCCTCGGCCTCCGAAAGTGTTGAGATATGACAGGCGTGAGCCACTGCGCCCAGCTTTGGTACTACTTTAACCAATTATGACCATTTGTATAGTGTTTTAAAGATGTATCTGTCTTTTTGTAGCTTTACTTTTAAGGGCAGATTACTTTCTAAGCTGGGTGAAGGTGGATAGCATGAGAGGTGGATGAGATAAATTACGTTGCTGCTTAAGAGAGAGAGGTAATATCCCTTACATAGGGGAGTGTCACTGGAATGGGGAGAAGGAATGGATCGGAAAACCACGAGCATGTGAGGTCATTGGTTTCTTACTGGGAAGTGAGGGAGGAGATCATTTCAAAACGGTTCCTGGGACCCTGGCTTGTGTGCTTTGATGCATACGGTGCTGCCTTCGTCTGTCTGGGCTGCTGTAAGAAAATACCATAGACTAGGTGGCTTGGAAACAACAGAGACGTATTGCTCACAATACTGGAAGTTGAAACACTAGAGATTAAGGCACCAGCTGATCGAGTGTCCAATTAGGGACCGCTTCCTAGGACATGCATGACCTGTCTTCCTCTTGTGTTCTTACATGGCAGAAGAGGAAACGCTCTGGGATCCCCTTGTCAGGCATGATCTCGTTCATGAGTGAGGGCCTGACCATATCCCAGAATCTTCACTTCCAGATCCCATCATGCAAGGGATGAGGCTTCCATAGGTGAATTTAGGGGAGGGGCCACAAGCGTGCAGGCTGTAGCAGGTACCACCTCAGAGAAAATGCGGGAGAACAAGAAAGAAACAGCTGGGGAAATAGACATGAGAGGCCTCACGAGTTTGGGTTTAAAAAGTTCGAATTTGAGATATCTTACGGAAAAGGGAAGTGAATTGAATTCATTCAGCAGAGAATATTGCAAAATTGGCGTTAGGGTCAATATAGGGAGTTGCCTTGCAGTCAGTTGAGAGTGGCAGCTGGCTGCTTGGGAAGATAGTTGTGTTCTTTTATATATATATATATATGTTCTTTGGTATATGGTCATATGGTGGGAGATCACCTTGCTAGATTATGAGAGGGTTCAGGTGTTAGCTGAACCACTGAGTTTTATGATGAACAGACTTAGTAATGCGTCATCCACCGATATTTTCATTTTTCATTAAACTTTCTGTCATGTGCAGTGGCTCTCACCTGTAATCCCAGCACTTTGAGAGGCCGAGGTGGGAAGGTGGGTTGAGCCCAGGAGTTTGAGACCAACCCGGACCACATAGCGAGACCTTAGTCCCAGCTTCTGGGGCTGAGGTGGTAGGATTGCCTGAGCCTAGGAGGTTGAGGCTGCGGTGAGCTATGATCGTGCCACTGTACTGCAGCTTGGGCGACAGTGAGACTCCAACTCAAAAATAAACAAAAATTTTATATGTTTGTAAAATTGGACACAATTGCTAATTTGTGGTTTGTTGGTATAAAGTATGCTCAAATATAGACTCAATTTGAATAACTAATTTTGAAGAAAAATATTCACTGGAAAATGCATGTGATATTCTACCTGATCGTAACCTTTAGTTAGATACTCATTTTATCTGTGGGAGCTGTGCACAATGAATCCATTAAGATGACTTGCAAATTATCAGAAATCTTAGCACATTTTATGTGGATATTTAGAATATAGAAAACTTGCTGGTATGTAAAATCTAAAAGATGCACTTATGTAAACACTATACACACCTTATTATAGAACGATTGTAACAGTGGTTGTTCAGCACAAGCATTTACTGCCTTTTTCTCCTTCTCCCTTGCTTTTCAGGATGTGTTTAGCTTTCAGGTGTCTCCTAATATGAATCCCCTAAAAATCAATGAGTTGGCGATCCAGAAACGCCTGACTATTCATGGGAAGGAGGAGGACGCCAGCCCCTGCGATTACGTGCTGCAAGTCAGCGGGAGGGTGGAGTACGTCTTTGGCGATCACCCTCTCATTCAGTTCCAGGTGTGTGTGTTGCCTGTCCGTTTCCCAGGGAGGTACACAGATGTGTCTTCAGCTTTTTCTTTTTATTAAATAGATGCCATGCCTATAGTGGAACGTTTGGAATCTGCAGAAAAGTACACAGAATTACATAGTAAACATTCATAATAATACTTAGCTCTGGGATAATCATGGTTAATATTTTGGCACATTTTTGCTGTTTTTCTTTGCAGTTATATATACTTTTATCGTGTGTGTGTGTGTATGTGTATACACATATGTTTGCATTCAGCTTTTGTGAGCATTTCAGTTAGTGTTATGTCATAATAATGCTCTTACAGCATTATGAATTCTTTTCTTTTTTTTTTGGTCGGAGTCTCACTCTGTCACCCAGGCTGGAGTGCAGTAGCTTGCTCATGGCCACCACAACCTCGACCTACTGGGCTCAGGCAATTCTTCCACCTCAGCTTCCAAGTAGCTGGAACCACAGGCATGCACCACCGTACTTGGCTAATTTTTTGATTTATTGTAGAGACGAGGTCTCACCATGTTGCCCAGGCTGGTCTCAAGCCCTCGGGCTCAGGCAGTCCTCTTGCCTCCGCCTCCCAGAGTGCTGGGACGATAGGCATGAGCCATCGCGCCTGGTACATTATGAGCTCTTAACACAGTTTGTTATGGCTGCCTACTGTTTCATCTTGCAGACATATGATTTAAATATGAAATATTCTAGGGGAATCAAAATATTTAAAAACTTGATGAACGGTCACTCATCGAATTGTATAAAAACTTACTTGTAATTATCAGATAACTAAATAACGTACTGTTGTAAATTCATTTGGAAAAAGTGTATTTTTGATGGTTTTGAATTGAGTTATAATACATTGAATCACACTTTGGCTTTATGTAAGACATTGGTCCTTTTGAGGAATGCATTGGATTCCTGTTCAGTGTATTAGAAAGCTCTGGTAATATGATTAACCACCCACTCTTACATGCCTTGAGAGAGACATTCGGTTTCGTGGAAAAAAACCCAGAACATCAGCTGGAATGACCAGCAGATTTTTGCTGGGGAGACAGTTGGCAACACTTGTAGAGCTCTGTTTTGAAAAGTGGCCACTTCAGGGATCCGTGGAAAAATGGGAACCTGCCGCACGTGAGCCACGTATTCACCTTCCTCGCTGGTTGGTTAAAGTATGATTCCGGTGTCAGACAAGTGGATTCATGGCCAGGTCTTACAGATACTGGGTGTGTGTAACTTCGCCTTTCCCAGTTTAATTTCTTTCTTCCGTGAAATCAGTGCAATAAAGATGAGCTGTAGCATATAGTAAGCGTTTCACTCAGTTCTTAGCTACTCGGGCATTCAGTTAACAGAAACTAATTTTTGTGCTGTGATTTTATGTTCTCCTAGCATTGGTATTGAGTAGTTGTTGAAGGGACGCTTTCGCAGTGCGTTTGATGCGGTTGTTCCGCTTGGTTGCATTCTTCTGTGTAAGTGTATGCTTGAAAGCCTATGCCTCCTCTCTCCTGCCTCCGTAGTACATCCGGACCTGCGTGATAAACAGGACCCTGCCCCATTTTATTCTCGTGGAATGCTGCAAGATCAAGAAAATGTACGAACAGGAAATGATTGCCATAGAGGCTGCCATAAACAGAAATGCATCAAACCTTCCTCTCCCATTGCCACCAAAGAAAACACGAGTTATTTCTGTAAGTTTCATATGTGGACCTCGTATGTGAACCTTTGGTAGCCCCAAAAGGCATTTGATTTTGTCAGGTTGTAAGCTCACTTCTCCTTCTGTCGAGAGCAGTGTGTATTTGCCAGTAACCTGTGACAGTTGTTTAAAAAATCGTCTTTCTGGCTACTGTTCTTTTTTTTTTTTTAACTCAAGCTACAAATAAATGCAAATATGCCAATTAGGCTTCTGGTGCTAAAGAGAAATGCCATCAAATTAGAGATTAGGCTTTAAACACAGGCCTTTGGTGAGCAATACAAATAAATAAAAGTCTAATAAAAGACTTAGATGTGCAGGAATAGTTGGATTGCCAGTATATTGTATTTCTGTCGGCTTAACCCTGTTGGTGTTTTTGGCATAATATTCCTGTCTTCTTAATATTGAATACTTTCATCAATCTTTTGATCCACTAGAGAGATCTTACTATTAAACATATATAAACGACACTGTTTTTTCCAAAATGTAATATATTTGTATAAAACAAATCCCAAGTTTATCTTCACTTTTTAGCTAGTTATCCTTGACAGATTTTATATTTAGCTGCTCCCGGATATCTTGATATTAATAGAAATGGTCAGCTCTGGCTTTATTCAAAACTTTCAATACTGCTTGTTGGTGCTTTTTAGTTCAGTGATATCCCTCTGAGTGGTGGAAGGCTGCCAGTGTTTTGCCCTGAAAGCCAAGTGCTGGGAGTTGTCATGCCTGATTTCCCACATGTGCCTTTCAGTTGTTAGCTCGGGGCTCTGTTTTCATGGTTTCGCCAACAGACATGAGAACCAATAAAACAATTTCATTGCTAGCATAGAGTATTCACTTCTGTTATTAAAATACTCTATTTATTTCATTCTTTTGCAGCACATTTGGGAAAATAACAACCCTTTCCAAGTTGTCTTGGTTAAGGGAAATAAACTTAACACAGAAGAAGCTGTAAAAGTGAGTACTTGCTAAGATTTGAGTTTTCATGTCCTTCATTATTTGAATAACTGATATGCTCAAAAATGTCACATTGGAGAGTAAACTTTACCCACGTGGCGATTTATTTTAAGACTTGACAATTTCTGTTTTAAAGTTTTCTTTGCATAGTAAGAGATCTACTGGAAAGATTGACATTATTTTTCCACCATACATTATTTAGAAGAAATTGTGTTAGTACAAGAATTCAGCAAGTGAAATCTAAGCAAAAATGATTGCATGGTACTGTGTGAACTCGTTCTCCTCTCAGCCTTGCTCAGTGCAGTCTGTCTCCTCTTTCAGCCGTTTTTTTTTTTCTTTAGACTTGCTGAGCACAGGGAAAGTGTAATATCATTTCCTGGAAGAAAATAGATGCCTGGGTTACGGATTGCAAGCTATTCACATGTGGGGATTTATTGCTCAATCCCATACTGTTAAATAAAGACCACCAAAGCGTTTTCTCTCAAAGAGTAAAGCATTCATAGTCCCTGTTTTGCGGGGTAGGAAGTTGAGTAGTTTTGCTACCCAAGCAGGAGATTTGTATTGTTTAAAATGTGTGTCGGTAAGAGGACATATTCCAAGTCCCCTTGCCAAAAATTATCAATGGCTTGCTCCTATATGTGGCCATTAAAGATTTTGGAGGAGAGCAAAAATGGTGGTTACCAGGGATTGGGGGATTGGGGAAATAGAAAGGTACATGTCCAAGGATACAAAAACACGGATCTTGCACGAATGATTCTAGAGAGCTCATGTACAGCATGAGGATTATAGTTAATGATATTGTATATAGGAAGGTTGCATAGATAGGCATATGCATAATTTTACAACCAGCTTTATTTGCTTAATATTTGTTTATTGAGTTGGAGTCTCATTCACACCCAGACCAGAGCGTAGTGGCATCCTCACAGCTCACTGCAGTCTCAGTCCTCTGGGCTTAGGCGACCCTCCCTTCTTGGCCTCCCAAGTTGCTGGGACTATGGGCATGCACCACTACTCCCAGCTAACTTTTTTGATTTTTTGTAGAGTTGAGGTCTCACTATGTGCCCAGACTGGCCTGGAACTTCTGGGCTCAAGCAATCCTCCCTCCTTGGCCTCCCAAAGTGCTGGGATTACAGGCGTAAGTCACTGCACCTGGCTTAATAATATTTATAATACGTCTTGGACAGCAAGTTAGTAAATATTCAGTAGGGTTCCTTGGAGATTTCATTCTTTTTGTATTTTCTGAGCTAGGGTTTCACTCTGTTGTCAGTTGTCAGTTATTATCCTCATTCAAAACAGACCCAATGAACTGAGGTTGCTCGAGGTTCTAATAACTGTCTGAGAAAGCTGTGTTCTTTTTTTTTTTTTTTAAAGTTGGAGTCTCACTCTGTCGCCCAGACCGGAGTGCAGTGGCCGCTCCCGGCCACCGCAGCCTCGACCTACTGGGCTCCGGTGATCCTTCCGCCTCGGCTTCTGAGGAGCAGGAATTACAGGCACGCGCTACCATGCCCGGCTGATTTTTTGATTTATTGTAGAGATGAGGTCTCGCCAAGTTGCCCAGGCAGGTCTCGAACCTGCAGGCTCAGGCAATCCACTCACCTCAGCCTCCCAAAGGTGTGGGATTACAGGCTGAGCCACTGAACCCGGCTGAAAGCTGTGTTCTTAACTCCACAGAACCAGTTCTCTCTGTTAACCAATGTCAGTATCCTACAGAGCATCCTGGAAACTTCCATGAGTTTCATTTAAATGGATGGAACCAGATATTAAGTATATCATGTTATGCTGAATTTTTGGTAATGTGTGTAAAACCATTTTTTTAGCCTTGAAAGACTTCTCTAGAGTTGATACAGAGATGCTGCAGACTTTGATGGTGGATTTGTTTCTTTGTTGCCTAGGAAAAATTACTTGCTGTATGGTTCTTATGGGCAACTAAAATTTTAGTTAAAAAATAATTAGGAGTATGAGAAATGAAGTGTGTGTTCTCTTATTCTTATTCTATCTAGTAGTCTCTCTTTGCTGTTAAAAAATACTGTCCTGATGTCTGTTTCTCATAATTTGGATACTAGAATATAGCATATCCAATGGATATACAGTACTGTTGTGTATTGCCATCTCTGTAATTTTCCTTAGTTTATTGCCTTAAAAGTAAAAATGAAAGTCCTCAGACTCTTTGACTAATTTCTGGGAACACAAGGAGTATCATTTTAATTAGTTTAGAGACATGATTGGTTAAGGGTATGACTATCCTAAAACCTCCGGTTTAAAGATAGGGAATGTTTGTTTTTAAAAATAATACCAAAATAATCATTTATATTTTCATTCATACTCTCATTAAATTTAGTGAGTCTTGTACTGCCTGTGGGCATTTTGGTGTTAGGTCTATACATGAGGCCTTAAATTTAGAGCATCCAGCCATTTTATGATACTTTCTGAAATGTTAATTTAAAAATATTTTAAGATAATGTTATAAAATCAAATCAAATGTCTTTGAAGGGGACAAGAAGTCACCAATAGTCCTGCCATCCACTATAAACTACTTTTATGTGTATTCTTGTCTTCACAAGGTGTCAGTGTGAACATACTTTTATAGTATTTTGTGTTACTGCATTGTACATTGAAGATTACATCGTAAGTCAGGTTCATCCTTTGCACACAATGTAGGTTTCATGATGGAGGGAAAGTAGGAGACGCAGAGGTGCTTGAGTCGAGGCTGGTGCCGTCCTTGCTGTGGAAGAGAACACAGGGATGGCGGTGGGTTAACCTCTAGGGAAGACGTGGGTTCAAGCTTGATACGGGGGAGCCGTGCAGTGGTATGTCGGCTGGAGAACACTTTTCCAGGGCAGAGGAGTGAAGGAGCCAGGTCTAAGCACTTACAAAGCTGGAGCAGCACGGGCCAGGAGAGTCTGGGAGGAGGAATTCCCCTTTTTCTGAAGCTGAAGGAATCGAGGGGCGGGCAGGGAGTGGGGTGTTCAGACACAGATTCCTAGTGACCTGAGGGTTAAGTGTCTTTGATATCCCTAAACCCCGATTACTTTCATCTTTACCGTGTTACAGTAGTCCATCTGTGTTTGGAGTAACAAGTTTTCCTCTTTTAGCTTAAAATGTTTTCAGAGAAAAATTTCAAACGGTGCAATCATGTAGAGAGAATAAACAGTATAATGAGCCTCTGAAAACCCATCACTCAGCTCCAACAGTTATCCCTGTAACACTTTAATAATTTTTCTTTAGCTTTTATGCATTTAAAAACACTTAATCTTTAATGCTTCTGTATTTTACTGGACTTCCAGAAAACGAATACTGTTCATTAAGCAAGCCATTTTTTATCAGTTATGATGTCCCTGCCCTACTCGCCTGTAGTTTCATTTATATAAGTATAACATAGTTTTAATTATTGTAATAGGTGTTAAACCCATGTAACTATAATGTATTATAAGGCTTTTATTGATAAGCTTTTCTAAAAATGAAAGACAAACCTGCATAATCCACAAATGTATTTATTTAGTTCGTAAATATTTACTGAGTAAGGCTGTGTGCTTTGTTACATCTGAATAAATTGGTATAGAAACTTTTTGATTTTACAGTTATATCATTGGGTCAGTATCTGGTCCACTATTGGTTTTTGTTTTTGTTGTTGTTTTCGATTTCTTTAGTCGGGGTCTCACTCTATTGCCCAGGCTGGAGTGCAGTGGCACGATCAGCGCTCACCGCAGCTTCAACCTCCTGGGCTCAGGCTGTCTTTCTGCCTCAGTCTCTTGAATAGCTGGGACCACAGGTGCATTCCACCACACCTGGCCAACCTTGTGGTTTTTCTGTGGAGACGAGGTCTCACTCTGTTGTCCAGGCTGGTCCCGAACTCCTGGGGTCAAGCAGTCCTCCTCCCTCGGCCTCCCAAGTGCTGGGATTATAGACATGAACTACTGCCCCGACCTCCACCACTGTTTTTAGCTCTGCTTCTCACGCTTAAATTGGTGACAATCGGGTCGTGTCTTTTTTAAACTATACAAATGACTGAACACAATCTTCTGAGACATTTCACGTATGCCCTGCATCGCTCTAGACCCGGGCCTCTAGGAGAATGTGAAGGCCAGTGATAGTCATCGATGTGGAGGACATCTCTTTAGTTGTCTCTTGTCGCAGCGGCAGAGTCACAGCTTATTTAGAAACGCGGACTGCTTCTCATCCATCCATTCTTCCCTAACTGCACAGAGGAACAGGACGAGGTCTTGAGGAAGTGGAGCCAGTTGGTGTGAGTGCATGGTGGTGTGCTTGTATGTGTGGTCTTGGTTCCTTTGGACCTGGTTAACCATCGGGACCCTGGTGTTTGGACCCGTTTAACCCATCAGGGACCTTGGCATCTGGACCCAGTTAACCATCAGGACCCTGACGTTTGGACCTGGTGAACTGTCAGGACCCCCCAGTGTTTAGACCTAGTTAACCGTCGGGACCCAGCATTTGGGACTGGCTAACTGTCAAGACCCTGGCCTTTGGACCCGGTTAACCATCTGGACCCTGGCGTTGGTACATGCATGTGACTTTGTAGTTGTTCTGCTTACCCCATGAAGCACGGGCCACACTAGCCGTAGCGTGTTGCACCGTGTTCTGATCAGCCACTGCCTGGTGGGTCTGTGAACAGACAGGGTTTCTGGAAGCCGCTGTGCCTCTTCCCTCTACAAGGTGGAGGTGTTTTAGCGGCACCGTGTTCATGCTTTTGTGTTTGTTTTTTCTCCTTCACCACAGGTTCATGTCAGGGCTGGTCTTTTTCATGGTACCGAGCTCCTGTGTAAAACCATCGTAAGCTCAGAGATATCAGGGAAAAATGATCACATTTGGAACGAACCACTGGAATTTGATATTAACACATGTGACTTACCCAGAATGGCTCGGTTATGTCTTGCTGTTTATGCAGTTTTGGATAAAGTAAAAACGAAGAAATCAACGAAAACTATTAATCCCTCTAAATATCAGACCATCAGAAAAGCTGGAAAAGTGGTAATCATATACTAACTTTTGAAGATTGTTTTATATAGTGGCATAACTTTAAGACTGTTCAAAATGATTCAATAATATAAGTTAAGTTATATCATGTAACTTTGGTTCCTAAGAACTGGTTGTAAGACAGTAAGTCTCCATGTTTATGTCTTGTTCGTTCATTTTCTTTTGGCAAATTTATTTTGGTTTTTTTTGAACTGGGATCTCATTCAGTCGCCCAGACTGGAGTGCAGGCCATGGCTCACTGCAGCCTTGACCTCCTGGGCTCAGGTGATCCTTCTGCCTCAGCTTCCTGAGTGACTGAGACTGCAGGCGTGTGCTACCATGCCCAGTTAATTTTTTTGATATTTTTTTTTGTAGAGATGCTATGTTACCTAGGCTGGTCTCCAACTCCTGGGCTCAAGCAGTCCTCTTGCCTTGGCCTCCCAAATTGCTGAGATTACAGGCATAAGCCACCGTGCCAGCCTTTGGCACCAACCTTTGGCAAATTTATTTTGTAAGTATTTTGTTACAAATGTAATAATTTTATGAAGATGTGGATCAAAAAGAATGAAGCCATTTTAAAAATTACAGTTCTGTCTGGGCTCGGTGGCTTAGTCTTTAATCCTAGCACTTTGGGAGACCGAGGCGAGTGGATTGCCTGAGCCCGTAGGTTTGAGACCAACTGGGGCAAACTGGCAAGACCTCGTCTCTACGATAAATAAAAATTAGCCGGGTATGGTAGTGTGCTCCTGTAGTTCCAGCTACTTGGAAGGCTGAGGCGGAAGGATCACTGGAGCCCAGGAGGTCGACACTGGGGTGGCCATAAGTGTGCCACTGCACTCTAGCCTAGGCTAGAGAGTGAGACTCCAACTCAAAAAAAAAAAAAAAAAGTTGCAATTCTGCAGTCCCTCAACTGAAATTTCATGGGCCAGATTTGTCTGAGAATTCAGAATTTTTGTGATGTACCTCACTCAACACACCTTGTGTATCTGAGACATAAATGTGTGATCAAACACATTAGTATTTGTAGTGAAATATATGAATATTCACACTAGAGGTCATACATAAAAACCATGTTTAGTTTTATGTCTCTGCTGGCCATGTTTTGCTGTCATGTGAGTTACAAACAGAACTTTGGTTTCCAGAGCTTCTTGTATTTTGAAATTAAGGATATAGAATGGTAGACCTGTTATCATACTCTCATATTCCATTCTATATTTATCTTTATTCTTTGAGTCACGGCTCACCATAGCTTCGATCTCCTGGGCTCAGGTAATACCCTGCCTCAGCCTCCTGAGCTTGGAGTTCAGGTGTGTGCCACCATACCCAGCTAATTTCTTATTGTTTTAATTTTTTTTAGAGATGAGGTGTCACTATGTTACCCAGGCTGGTCTCAAACTCCTGGGCTCAAGCAGTCCTCCTGCCTCAGCCTCCCAAAGTGTTGGGATGATAGGTGTGAGCCACTGCGCCTGGCATATTTTATACTTTTAGTCCAGTGTTTACATTTTCTTCTTCTTTGAAAACTTTTTGAGAGTATGGGGTCATGAACTTTATGTTTTTAAAGCCTAGTTATTGTATTTGTGTATATGAATTTGTGTCTTTTTATTCTTAACATGAATGTAGGCATTTTCTCTGGTTATCATAATACTTCTGAAAATAAATTTTCACAGGAGGGCTAGTGCTTTTTCCTTTCCCTGATATAGAGTTCTCCACGCTTTTGATTATTTACAAAAAATTGTTTTTTCGATACCATCCCATCAGCTCAGTGCCTCCTTTTCAGAGATAGATTTTGCAATACCCAGATACATAGCCTCCTCCCACACAAAACTTGAGTAGAGTGAACGCCTTTAAAACATGTGTACTGATATTAGATTACATATATTTTCTTGAATCATTAAAAAACTCCTTGTCCCTTTTGAAGACAATCGTAAATATTTCAATTTATGAATATGCTATTAATGAGCTTCGAGGGTTCTTGCTAACCATCATAAAGATGCTGAACATTTTTCCATGTACAACTTGTCCTCATCTGGGATGATTATTTTGGAAGTCATCTAGTACTTCTGAGAACTAACATTTTTGAAACAAAGGCCATGAGCGTGTTTACACCCTGAGAGTCATCACAGCATATTTACACAGCGGCATCTTTTCCAGCAGCATTACCCCGTGGCCTGGGTAAATACGATGGTCTTTGACTTTAAAGGACAGTTGAGATCCGGAGACATCATATTGCACAGCTGGTCTTCATTTCCAGGTAAGGCTGATGTCCTGAGTGTTAGAGTAACTGACTCTTGCATGTGGACTTGTCGATGCTCCTTGATGAGTGACCACTCTTTCAGTGTAGTAAATGAGCGATTGTGTGTCTTTCTTATTTATTCTTAAGCAGGCCTACATAAATTGTTATAATGTGTCATAAAATGATTTGTTTGGGGGTATATTTCTTCTTTGGTTTAAAAATTGGTCTATATTTTAAATGGTTGTGCTTCATACAAGCACTGTGTGTCACAATTGTGTTCCTAACAAGGTCATTCTCATATTATTAACGAAATGTCCATTTAGCACACTACAGATTGTCTAGTCTGGCCCTGGGACATAGCTTTTAAGTTTTGCAATGAGCAGCATTCTCTTTGAATCTTATTCCATTGAGTATGCCTTGCCTTAGACACTTTACTGTTACAGTTTTCGAGGCGCTCTCCTGAGGAATACTGTCTTGCTGCTCGTTGTGAATGGTCTTCACTGGGGGAAGACACGTTCGCTGAAACAGGAGAAATAGTGAAAGCACTTTCTCTTTAGTTGGGTCCCGCCTGAACTGTGAGGTCAGGGGAGCCTTTCCTGCGCCCTTGGTTTCCCAAACAGGACTCAAAATACCCTCAACCAATGAAGGAGATGATTTGGTTCCCACTTTTACAGATGAGGAAAGTGAAGCTTGGAGAAGACAAGTTATTCAGTCTTAGTTGATTGCTTCAAGCCCAAGAGGTGCATGAAAGCCTGCTCTTTCCCCAGAGATGGAGTTTTTAGTGTAAACCTTGTATTATAATAGTGGTTTCCTTTTTTTCCTCCCATCTTCATTTTTCTTCATATATTGTGAACTTATTTGAATCTTAATTATTTTGTGTGTAACAGACATTTTAAAACGTTTATATGCTAGCAGCTGCTACCTAAAACATTATTTTTGGATAATCAGTTACTTATTGACATATTTATAAACTCTTCACAATCTAGTATTTTATTGGTGTGTATATTCTTCTGTTTCTATGCTCTCCTGCCTGTACCTCTAGTAATTTTCACTAATCATGTTATTCCCCAAATATAGGAGAGCTGTATATGTCTGACACATTTCTTATAAAGAACTGTATTTTCATAATAGAGAATACATAATGCATTTTAGCGTTATGCTTTCTTAAAAAGCTTAATCTAGATTCAGACGAGTTTTCCAGAATCAGCAAGCAACTTGACTGGCATTTTTAGTGCAAGTGACCTTTTTTTGTGGTGTTAACTTGGCATACCATGAACCTGACTTCTCTGAGATGCTGTGTGATGGCTGGGCACAGTGGCTCCCGTCTGTAGTCCCAGCACTTTGGGTGGCTGGGTGGGAGGAGGGCTTGAGGCCCGGAGTTCCAGACCAGCTTGGGCAACACAGCGAGACACTGCTTCCATTTTTTAAAAAGTGATGAGAAATAACACAGTGAGCTCTGCATATATCAGCTCTCGAGTTGTCACATTTAATCCTGTAAGGCTAAGCGAGAAACAGAGGAGCTACAGATGGCCTGTCATCTAGAGCCCCTGGGTCGTCGTAACAACATACAGAGTCACGCGTGTGGGTTCGCTTCTTTCTGCGCTTCCTCATGTATGTGCTAGGCACCCCACGCGTGGATTCCTGCTTTCTCCGGCGCTGACGCGAAACAGCCCGTTCCTTGCAGTGTTCTGCTCCTGCTTCTCTTCGCCTTACTGTCTACCCAGAGAGCGGCTTCCTTCTTCTTTCTCAAGCAGAATTGAAAATCCTTGCAGGTGTATGTCTGCAGTACATTTCCAGGAGTGGGTGACTTGAGTCAAAGGATAAGCAGATTTGTAACTCTAGAGAGAATACAAGTTCCTCTCTGGCAGGGATTGTGCCTATCTGTACTCTCTGTGTGTAGCATATGAGTCCCTTCTTTGTGATCACTTTTTACCAAGGTCACCTCTATGCGTTAGGAGCTAAGTATTCAGATGCTACCTTTGACCTCAGATAGATTGCGTTTGATAGGCCAAATAAGTTTAATGCTACTAGAAAGCCAACTGTGGGATTATAAACTATAGCAGTGTACTGATAGGAGTTCAGCCAGGACTGGTGGTGAGCGCCTGTAGTCCCACCTACTTGGGAGACTGAGGCAGGAGGGTCACTGGAGCCTAGGAGATTGAGTCCAGGCCGGGCAACACAGCAAGACCCTGTCTATAAAATTAAGTCAGAGTTGCTTCCATTTAGGTGAAAATTGAATTTATTAGATGTGAAAATATTAAACAAGATGAGCAAAGGATTAAGGAGCTAAAATTTGTAGTGTTTTATTAAGATTTCCTAGCTTTGAGAGGTAATTCTGAGGGTGCAGCCTTTATGGACATTAGGCCTAGACAGAATGGACTTTATATTTTTTTCTTTAGGAGGTACGAAAATCAGCATAAGAAAAATTATTTTGAAGAGGGGAGTGTTCTTTCATCTTGAGTTTCTTATTTGTGAAATGCGCAAGTTACTTAATTGAACCCCAGGGTTTTCTGACTGCTCTGAATTCTGAGGTCCCGTGCACAGTTCTGCGACTGGACCGTGTTTAGGGAGGTGGGGGAGAGGAAGCCATGCCCCGAAGGGAGCAGGGTTGGCGACGGAAGAGGGGGGCTTGAATGGAGCCTCTCAGAGGCCACCGAGCAGCACAGAGCAGTGTTTGGTCAGCAGCTGCGGCTAGTAAAGGTGCACTAGCAGCAGACTGGCTAAGAGGAGCGTATTGATGACCATCAGAATATCAGTCTGTGTATTATAACGACCAGGACCGAATTACGTGCAATCAAGAGGTCCATAAACAGTGGTAAAATTGCCCTTCCTGTGGGCCACTTGATTTTGATGGGGGAAGGACAGTTCCAATGAAGTTTTTTCAAGATTGAAAATACTGAGCATGTTTGAAGAAAGAGCCGAAGTAGCCATTCATTTTTGTTAACTTCCTCGTTTTAAAGATGTGTGCACACTCACACTGAAATTTTGTTCCAAGGATTAACAGAAAATTAGAGGCTTGCTGATATAATTGTCTGCCAAGCTTCCTTAGCGGACACCCCTTTTAAGTCATTTTCATGGGAGGAAATACATTACAGGGTCTTTTTTAAAGTTTAGTTTCAAAGATATTTTCTTAAGAATCAAAATTATCTGCATGTTTTAGATGAACTCGAGGAAATGTTGAACCCCATGGGGACCGTTCAGACAAACCCGTACACTGAGAATGCCACGGCTCTGCACGTGAAGTTTCCAGAGAGTAAGAAGCAGCCTTATTGCTACCCTCCCTTCGACAAGGTAAGCCAGTTATCTAGAGAGCCACCACACAGGGGGAAGTGACTGTTCCTGTATCGGGATGAGCATGTGTCTGTTTCTCTCCCAAAACTTCCCATGCGCTGACAGCTGTGTTCAGTGGAGGGACCACGGGACAGGCCCCCTCACCTATTAGTCCTGGCTGCATCACTGACCAGACGAAACACCGCACCTCTGGAGTTCCGGCCCCTTGTAGAAACTAAGAAAACCATAATTGTTCTAAGGTTTTCGAACTTAAAGGGCTGACGTGTATTCATATGTAATGCCAAACAAACAAAATATTCAGTGAAGCATGCCCGGTATGTTGGTTCAGAGGCTCCAGATATAATACTGCTGTGTTAGAGTTGATGTTTAAAGAGCAGTTGACTTTTGTTGAATGTTACTATTAAATGGGCTTCCTAAGGTAGTTATTTTGTAGCATCTATAGCAAGGATTTCCGTTTTAAGTACATTTTCCTAGTATGCAAACTGTGTGTCTTGGGGATAAAGAGATTATCTGGTGGGGGCTAAATCAGAGCTGTGTCAATTTGCATGCTAAGAGGGCTGAGCTGTTGTGTGTTTTATCATTGGGCTTGGCATGGTGTTGATTTTTTTGGTTGTTTGTTACAAGAGATGGAGTCTCCTCTGCCTGGGTTACAGTGGTATGACTACAGCTTGCCGCAGCCTGGAATTACTGAGCTCCAGCCTCCTCTTGTCTCAGTCTCCTGAGTAGCTGGAGTTGCAGGCATATGCCACCACGCCCAGCTAGTTTTTCATATTTTTTTAGAGACAGGATCTTGCTGTGTTGCCCAGGCTGACCTTGAACTTCTAGCCTCAAGTGATCCTCCTGCCTCTGCCTCCCAAGTGGCTGAGGTTACAGGCGCTAGCCACTGCACTTGGCTGGTATTACTATTACTATTACTATCACTGTCACTATCACTATTTTAGAGATGGGGTCTCACTCTGTCACCCAGGCTGAAGTGCAGTGGTATGAACATAGCTCACTGTAGACTCAAACTCCTGGCCTCATGTGACCCTGCTGACTTAGCTTCCTGAGTAACTGGGACTACAGGCGCACACCACCACAACTGGTCATCGAAAAATTTTTTTGTAGAGATAGGTTCTTGCTATATTGCCCAGACTGGTCTCAAACTCCTGACCTCAAGCAATCCTCGTGCCTCGTCTTCCCAAAGTGCTGAGATTACAGGCATGAGCCACCACGCTTAGCCACAAGTGTTGATTTTTATGAGGAAATCTTTGAACAAATTATCAGAAAATGAACAAGAAAATTTTTTAATTTCCTTAATCCAGTTGAGAACAAGCTACCTTTAAAGATTTCTGTTATACTAAATATTTACATTAATGCAACTATAAACTTTATTGCATTTTAATGTTCAGCACTGCCAGACCTGTATAGAGATTTTTTTAAAGTATTATGCACATTAAATTTATGTAACTCAATGTTTCATCCTTAGCTTTTATTTTTATTGAATTTTATCTACCTAAGAAGTAACTTTTTAAGTTCTTTAAAATATTTTTCTGAACAGTAATTTACAATCAAAGTAAATTTTCTGCTTGTTAATAATAGAAATCCCAAATATGGCAAGAACTATATACCTTAGTGTACTTTTATTAGAAAAAGCTGCATTTTGACTAATTCAGTACCTTCATGAGTGTGTTTAGTTCTTCCTTAGACAGAAATTTCTCTTTAAGCCATAGCCACTTGTGATACATTGAATAGTCCTAGCTATGATTATTATCATGTTCAGTTACGATGTGTGTTGACCAATCAGTTACAGTTTCTTTTGGATCAAATGAAATGGGTTTTTTTAAGCATCTTTACAAATATAGCATCCCATGCAAATATAAGTATTTGTAATCTAATAATTCAAGAGAAGCTTTATTTCCCCATTGCTTCAGTCATCTGCCAGAGGTCATTAAATTTCCTTTTGTCTTTCTGATTCCTTAGAGCATCTGTGTGAAGATCAATTTGGGATAGAAGTTTTAGTCTTTAAATATGTGTAAGCCAAGCCCAGTGGCCTGCATTCCCAGCTAATTGCAAGGCTGAGGTGGGAAGACTGCTTGAGCCCAGAAGTTTGAGGTCAGCCTGGGCAACATAGCAAGACCTCATCTCAGAACAAACAAACAAAATTGTATAAATATGTTTTTACTTGTTTCCTCTCATTGTTCAAGTTAGACATGGCTATTATAAAATAAATAATACAGATGTAAAAAGTGAAGGTTTCCCCAAGTCCTGTTCTTTTTATTTAATGTTTATTGCTGCAGTCACTCGTGTATGTTTAGCTTTCACGTTAATTTTATGGTTATTGCTTAACGCAAGTAACCATAATCTCCTTGTATTATTACAGCAACCCTGTGGCGTGGGATGGCAATGAACACATTTTACACATGAGAGTGCAGATCACTTACTTATTTGGATTGCACCATCCAGTCCCTGGCTCTGTGTCTTTACTCATGTGTCTCCTGTTGGACAAGTGGGTTTCCATCTTGGTCGTGAGAACGAGGGCCCCCTGTGAACTTAATGGATTTTAAAAATGTGCTTAGACTTCCTCTTGTCATTATGTCTACTTTTGGTATATGTTAACTGACAAAAAGTGAAAAAAAGCTTATTTTACACTTAGTAACTTACATGCATTTGCATTCTGTTAACAGAATGCATTGACCGGTATTTCAGAAAAAGTTTGGCAGATGTAAGCAAGCCGCTGCTTATTTTTTCTGCAGACAGCTCTGGTGTTCTTTCCCTTAGAGCGATGCTGTGGCTTCCCTGTTGCTGAGAGTTCGAGACACTTGGGAAGTACCACTTTGCATTTAAGATTCATGTTTCCATCGAACGCGTAGAAGTTCCCGATCCTTTAAGTACAAGTATAATAGCTTACACCTAAAATACTACAAATATGAAAGCCAAGATTGATTTAAACATTTTTCCAACAGATTATTGAAAAGGCAGCTGAGATTGCAAGCAGTGACAGTGCCAACGTGTCGGTAAGTGCCGAGAGTTTTCAGTGGCCTTTTCTTTTTAGAGTCATGCACATTTCCAGGAAACTTCATCTCCTTTTGGGTCACAAACTCCAGACCGCACAATTTGTGAGCTGGTGAGTACACACCTGCTGGAATTTTGTTAACTGACAGCCCCGTGTGTAGGCGACGTGTGTTCAGCGGGCAGCCTTGTTCCGCTGCGGGTGCAGGTCGTCTGAGGGGTGCTGAGGCCTCTCGTAGGGTAGCAGCACAGTCTCCCTGAATGTCACCCAGCTGAGTGGGAGGGCTGTGTCTCCCTCACGTGACACAGTGGTGTGATGGCTGCAGTGCAGGGTCTCAAGCTCCATCTGTCCTAGCGATCCACCGTGTTTCACGCCTGGTTTCTGTGTCACGGTGTGATATTGCGGCCTCAGCTTTCTACTTTACACTCTGGCCAGCAGGTACAGGGAAAATGAGATTTGGGGCCACGCCCTATCCTCTTTGGGGCTTTGTCAACATGTCATTTCTGTTCACACCTCCTTGGCCAGTCTCTTGTGGCCGTGTCTAACTTCAAGTGCACCTGGAAGATGCATTCTGTGGCTGGGTAGTCGATCGTGTGCTTGACTGATAGGCGATTCTAGAACTAAATGGAGAAGTAGGGAGTGGACATCCAGGGACAAAAGGCCTCTGCTGCATTCGCTGTTCTCGTTGTTTCCATCAGATGCCACCAAATGGGTTACCTTGTGGATTGGGGTTACTGTATATATATGTCTACCATCTGTGCTTTTTAGTTTTTTGTCTCTAGTATTTTGGGGGTTTTTTTTGAGTCAGGGCCTAACAGTTACCCAGGCTGGAGTGTAGTGACACACTTCTGACCACAACAGCCTTGACCTGCTGGACTCAGGTGATCCTCCCACCTCAGTCTCCCAACTAGCTGTAACCACAGGTAGACACCACACACCTGGCTATGAGCCACAGCACCGGCCCTGGACTCTAATTTGACCTTGTTGAACTCGAATCTCACATTCTTTTGCCACCAAGTCACAGCTTTTGAGTGTCTTGAGTGAAGCTGAGCTACCCACAGCCCAGCAGCGATGCGTGGCTCAGAGGGAGAGCAGACAGGTGTGCGTGTTCCTCTCATCCTCCCAGATTCAAAGCCCGGTTTCCTTTGGCTGTCAGAGAGATGTCTGGCCCGGCCTGTCTTCTGCTTTGCCATCAGCGTCTTAAAGCCTCTCCTGGTTTCCCAGTGCAAGTCCGCTACTGCCACTTTCTTGCCAGTGTCGTCAGGCATAAACTGCTGTTTGAACTTGAATGCTCGACCCCAGGAGAGAGGGTCCTAGTGCCAGGCTCCTGGTCTTTCTGGTTTAGAAAAGCTCTGGCCCTCCTGGGACCACAGCAACCAAACACTTCTTGCCTCTGCTTTTTTTCTCCAGAGTTTTGTGTTATAAGAATTGCTGGAGACAGTTCCAGACGATTATTTAATTTGTGAGTTCTAATAGCCTGACTTGCATGTGTGGTCAGATTGAAATTTGCACGGACAGTGGCTGAGGCAGGTGTGTCGCCCCGTGCCTTGACTGTGCGCACAGACGTGAGGGTGGTCCGGCATCTCTGGGAGGGAGGGTTCATTAAAAAAAAAAGAAGCAGCACAACTTCAAAAACATAGACCAAGAATGCCGAGGGAAGTTTCTTGGAGGTGTCGGCTTGTCCGGGTGTTGGTGTGAGTTCAGGAGGTGACCGCCACGTCAGGGGGCCTTGTCCATGTGTCTCGCCCCCCCCAATCAGGCCTCATGCTGCCCCTGGCCTGAGGGGAGTAAGTTGGCCCCACGGCCTCAGTTCCGAGCTCGTGCCCTGCCTCAATCGGGGGGTGCCATGGACACTGAGCGCCAGTCTTCCTGCCGGGCCGGGTCGTTTGTATTCTTTTCTCAGAAGAGGTTCTCCCTCTGCCCCTGGGCTGGAACCCAGTGGCCCCGCCGTGGCCGACGGCAGCCCCGTACTCCGGGGCCCCCACCCTCAGCCTCCAGGGTGCCGGGGCTCATAGGCACGGCCCACCACACCTGGCTGAGCTGCGCTCTGCCCAGGTTTGTCTTTTATTAGGTACGTCATGCAGCTGATAAATTGTGGACCCACAAATGAATGTTTCTTTGTGTCATCCAGTCCACTCTCCTCCCTGGAGCTAACTGTAGTTGGTTTAGTTTGCAGCTACCAGTCCTGGCTGTATGGTGAATTCCGTGCTCCCACCCTTTTGAGTAAATGAAGTCATTATACATGGTTTCTCCTTTTTCGTCTAAGGCATGTTGTCAGTCTTGTCATGTTAGGATCAATGGGTCTGCTTCACTTTTGAAACCTTCTTAGCATTCCAGAGCGTTAATTATTCGTTTCCATTACTTATTAAACTTACATGCTCCTCTTGAGGGGTGTTTTGCTTATTTCCAATTTCTCTCTGTTCAAAACGGGCCACAGTTACTTGTTTCCTTTCCTCTCCCTCCCTCCCTTCCTCCCCCCCT